TACCTCATCTCAGAAATAGAGACAGATACTGAAAGGCCGAAACGTTGTAATAAATATGGCGACAAAGATGAGGACAATAGTCCGAATAATGTAAATAGTGTACATAATACCTCATCTCAGAAATAGAGACAGATACTGAAAGGCCGAAACGTTGTAATAAATATGGCGACAAAGATGAGGACAATAGTCCGAATAATGTAAATAGTGTACATAATACCTCATCTCAGAAATAGAGACAGATACTGAAAGGCTGAAACGTTGTAATAAATATGGCGACAAAGATGAGGACAATAGTCCGAATAATGTAAATAGTGTACATAATACCTCATCTCAGAAATAGAGACAGATATCATTTTCATTTCCATTCCATATCTCTTTCTCTTTTTTTTTTATTGGTTTTCTGAACACTTTTACTTAGAATCAGGAAAAAATAGCTGAAATTTCTTTGGAAGCATAATGAGGAAAGAGGACTCACGGGGCATATTGAGAGCAAGAGAGATAAGGGAAGGCAGTGAGTAACTTCGTTAAAAACAAAGAAAAGCGCCCTGGATTACTGTGTATTGTCAATCACATTATATAACAGTGAATGTTGGATAATCTCCACACGGATGAGGAGAAAACTAGAGGCAGCCGAAACGTGGTTCTACAGAAGGATACTGAACATTCTATGGCCGGAGCGAGTAAGCAACAAGAGAGTCTTAAAGAAAATAACAACAGAAAGAACACTTATACTCAAAATCAGGGAAACACAGCTAAAATTACTTTGGCACATAATAAGAAAAGAGGGCTTAGAAAACATAACACTCACAAGGGAAATTGAGAGAAAGAGAGATAGGTGAAGGTAGCGAGCAACTTAGCTGAGGAGCTTGTGGAGAGCTATGATCGTCTAAGTCATAAAGGTGTGCGACAAGACGAAGAAGTAAATATTTAACATGTTATCGCTAAGAAATACATCTGACATTAAAATGTTGCCGGTAGTTTGAATAATTGATCCTTTATTGGAATAGAAAAGCTCAGTGCATTTTACTTGCTGCTGGACATCATACGTAGCCATTTTAATCTCCGTAGGATGCTCTATAACCTGCAAAAAGAAAAAAAAGAAAAAGATTGAAAACGAACAAGTTATGACTTTTTCAAATCGTCAGTTTTTCAATGGCCACTCTGTATAAAATCATAGCCTGCTAATCTTCACCGTTTCTTGATGAAAATAATGAGAAACAAATTTCAGTTGCCATAATATTGGTAAAATTTTAAGATGAATTCCATTTTGAAAGGGTTAAAATTTTAAAAAGTATTTCCGTTTGTCTTTTGTTAATTGATTTTAACCAAATGTTTACTTAATTTCAGACACGAGATAATGTTTGATAATTTTAACTCATGTGATTGCCACGTCCGTACATAATATTTGGTGCACATGAGCCATGATTTTAGAAGAGTCGTAAAAGTAAGGACGCCTAAGAAAAGAGTTTACTATTGAGCAGGACGTCTGAGGAAAAGCCTAATCTAATATTTTGTGCATCACATATGACCATTGGACCCTTGACTGATAAATTAAGGTCTCAAATGAAAGATAATCTATTTTTCCACTTTACTGAAATGATTATAATCTTTCGCTTGGAAAAAAAAAAGTTTTAACCCTCAAATTCATCTTCACTTTCATCAGTGAATGAGATATCATCAGGACTGAGATAATTATCTGTTGTGGCCTTTTTAGGGGCCAGAAAAGAAAGACACGAAAGACGAAGTTATGGTTGAACAAGTCTATTGAAATAACAGATATATATATAAAGCAAGTGTGTTAGTAACAAGCAGATAGAGGTATACGTCCGAGCGGTAGGTGAACACTGCGTCTACGCTATATTTAACAGCTCCCCCGCCCACGATGGTTGTATGTGGCACAAGGCCGAGTTTACCGTGGGTTCTCTGAGCCTGTAGTCTTTGGCAAAAGTTATTCCATTAGAACCTGTATAAACGGGTTCAGGGTCTGTCTACCTCCCCGGACGAAAGTTTGCCCTTCGGCGTACCTTCGTCCGGGTTCCTTTCTGCCAAAGTCAGAGAGTTCGACAGAAATCGCACACAGTCAGAGACTCCGTCTACGCTATATTTAACAGTCCCCAACGAGGGTGGAACAAGGCCGAGTTTACCGTGGGTTCTCCGAGCCTGTAGTCTTGGCCAAAAATATTCCCTTAGAACATGCATAAACGGGTTCAGGGTCTGTCTACCTCCCCGGACGAAACTCTACCCTTCGGCAGAGCTTCGTCTGGGTTCCTCTCTGCCAAAGCAGAGAGCTGGACAGAAGTCTCAAACAGAGACTGCGTCTCGGCTCCCCAACCGACTCTCGCAGTTAGTATTTATGAGAGGAGGAAGAGTTCATTCTACTGTAGGAGGGTTTACCACAACACTATTATCAAACTATTCTCATAAAAATGTTCAGAATTTATTATAGTTTTTTTTTAATATTGGTATAAAAAATGACAAATATATTATAGGGTTCTTTTTAATATCTCTATAAAAAGTAGAATTTATTATAGTGTTCATTTAATATCTCTATAAATATGTCTAGTATTTATTATAGGGTTCTTTTTAATATCTCTATAAAAATGTCTAGAATTTATTATAGGGTTCTTTTGAATATCTCGATAAAAATGTCTAGAATTTATGATAGTGTTCTTTTTTAGTATCTCTATAAAATGTTTAGAATTTATTATAGGGTTCTTTTCTAATGTCTCTATAAAATGTCTAGAATTTATTATAGGGTTCTTTTTAATATCTCTATAAAAAATTCTAGAATTTATTATAGAGATTTTTTTAATATCTCTCTAAAAATGTTTAGAATTTATTATAGGGTTCTTTTAATATCACTATAGAAAATGTCTAGAATTTATTATAGGGTTCTTTATAATATCTCTGTAAAAATGTCTAGAATTTATTATAGGGTTCTTTTTAATATCTCTATAAAAATGTCTAGAATTTATTATAGGGTTCTTTTTAATATCTCTATAAAAATGTCTAGAATTTATCATAGGGTTCTTTTTAATATCTCTATAAAATTCTCTAGAATTTATTATAGGGTTCTTTTTAATATCTCTATAAATATCTCTAGAATTTATTATAGGGTTCTTTTAAATATCTCTATAAAAATTTCTAGAATTTACTATAGGGTTCTTTTTAATATTTCTATTATATTCTGAAAAAATATACTTTGTGTAGTAATAAAAATAATTTTTTTTTTCACGCTATTGCTTGTTACCAGATTTATGACTATTGCAAGGCAACTCAGTTTATTTGGCAAATAGAACAGGCTGATATATAGTGTTTCACATAAAAATAACCTGTAAATAACGTATCATTATTTTGTATATCTATCTATTTATCTACATATATATATATATATATATATATATATGTGTGTGTGTGTGTGTGTGTGTGTGTGTAAATATTTCAGACAGATTATATCTGTAAAAGGACAGTATGAATAAAGACAAAAAGAAAACTTATCTTAACCTACGTGTTTCGGACTCTGAGAGACTTTATCAAGGCATATGCAAGGATATTTATTACAAGAGCAAATATGTTATTGGTTTTTCCACATTTTAAAATTTTTAGAAAGTTAACCGAAAAGTCAAGGCAAGCGATGGAGCTTTGATCACCAGACTTATCAAAATAGAATGTAAATTACTTAGAAGGAAAATTCTTGAAAGTGCCGCTACCGAATCATATCAAAATATAAATCTACGCCCCGGTTTTTTTTTTCAAATATCTCCATTCCTGAAAGAATTACTCCTTTCCCAAGCCAACATACACGACTATAATTTTTTTTTTTAATAATTAAAAGAAAGTTAAATTTCTAACTTCATGTTATTTAAAATATAATACACATAAATGAATCCCAGACTAAAATAATTTAAATACTAATTTGCATTAAAAAACTGAAACAACATCATTTACCCACTTTCCCTTGATTAAACAATGAATTGTCACTTGACGTCTTCCATAGCTTGCCTAACTTTTTGCTTAACCTGATGAATATTTAGGGGCGTTCTTAAATTTAAAAATGTGATACACAGAGCGTCGTGTAATGATTTGTATGTTTTTATTATGTGAAACACTATATATATCAGCAGTTTCTATTTGCCAAATAAGCTGACTTGACGTGCAATAGTTCTTTGTTATAGTATCACACCGAGCAAGTCAGTACAGCCACTAACACGCAATTGGTTACATGATGTGAAGGAATTATGAAGAGAAATATTAATAATGGACAAAAAGAGCTATCAGGAGAAGGGTAGATATCGATTGGCATCGCATTTTAATTCCAGATTAAAGTTGGCTAGAAAGCATGGAGCCAGCAAAGAGTTTCACAAGCGAGAGGTGCGAGAAAATAAACTGTTAGCGTAGAATTTAAGGCTACATCTAACTAGCTCAACTGTAAATTGATGAGATCTCGTCGGCGGTCAAGTATAGCGCTTAAATTCATGAATAGATACCAGAGCAATGAGCTCAACTGAACATTTACCCTAAAAGTATTTATAAAAAAGACACAGAGAGGCAACATTATGGCGGTAGGCAAGTGACAAAAGCCAAACCGCCAGATCAGGACCAATAATATTGCTGATACTTCTTGGATCTTATCAAGGGACCCAATTAAATCACAGGGTCACTGGACCATATATGGCAGCAATATTCTGAGCATGGATGTATGATAGACTTATAGATATAAACGATAGATTCCGTGTGTGTGTATGTGTGGGTGTGTGTGTATGCGTGTGTGTATGTGGCATTTTTAAAAGAATTCAAATCAAATACGTTAAAAATGAAGAACTTGGCAAAGTCGCTCTTAAACCTAGATTTAGATCAAGAAAAGTGACTGGGTTTTATCGAAGACTTCGAGATAAACAACGGGGGTGAACACAGTGAAAAAACTCTCGTCTGAATAACCGAAGATTTAACTGCGGCAAGCCGCATCTCCACCAATATTTACTTCCTTTTGCCATTCTTGCTTAGCGGCACCCGAGAGAAGCTATCGTCGTTGAAACTTGCGGGTACATGAGAGAAGCCATCGTCTTTGAATCTTGCGGGCACATGAGAGAAGCCATCGTCGTTGAATCTTGCGGGCACATGAGAGAAGCCATCGTCTTTGAATCTTGCGGGCACATGAGAGAAGCCATCGTCGTCTTTGAATCTTGCGGGCACATGAGAGAAGCCATCATCGTCTTGCGGACACATGGGGAGAAATCGTCTTGGAATCTTGCGGGCATCGTCTTTGAATCTTGCGGACACATGAGAGAAGCCATCGTCTTTGAATCTTGCGGCCACATGAGAGAAGCCATCGTCTTTGAATCTTGCGGCACATGAGATAAGCCATCGTCTTTGAATCTTGCGGACACATGAGAGAAGCCATCGTCTTTGAATCTTGCGGCCACATGAGAGAAGCCATCGTCTTTTGAGCCATCTTTGCCATCTTGTGGACACATGGAGAAGCCATCTTTGAATCTTGCAGGCACATGAGAAGCCATCGTCGTTGAATCTTGCGGGCACATGAGAGAAGCCATCGTCTTTGAATCTTGCGGGCACATGGTGAAGCCATCGTCTTTGAATCTTGCGGGCACATGAGAGAGCCATCGTCCATCGTCGTTTGAATCTTGCGGGCACATGAGAGAAGCCATCGTCTTTGAATCTTCGTCGGGCACATGAGAGAAGCCATCGTCTTTGTCTTTGAATCTTGCGGGCACATGATCTTGCGGGAGAGAAGCCATCGTCTTTGAATCTTGCGGGCACATGAGAGAAGCCATCGTCTTTGAATCTTGCGGACACATGAGAGAAGCCATCGTCGTTGAATCTTGCGGACACATGAAGCCATCGTCTTTGAAGCCATCGTCTTTGAATCTTGCGGGCACATGGATAAGCCATCGTCTTTGAATCTTGCGGGACACATGAGAGAAGCCATCGTCTTTGAATCTTGCGGCCATCGTCGTCTTTGAGAAGCCATCGTCTTTGAATCTTGCGGGCACATGAGAGAAGCCATCGTCTTTGAATCTTTGCCATCGTCTTTGGGCACATGAGAGAAGCCATCGTCTTTGAATCTTGCGGGCACATGACATCGTCATCTGCGGACACATGAGAGAAGCCATCGTCTTTGAATCTTGCGGACACATAGGAGAAGCCATCGTCTTTAGATCTTGAATCTTGTCGGATCTGCACATGAGAGAAGCCATCGTCTTTGAATCTTGCGGACACATGAAGAGAAGCCATCGTCTTTGAATCTTGCGGACACATGAGAGAAGCCATCGTCTTTGAATCTTGCGGACACATGAGAGAAGCCATCGTCTTTGAATCTTGCGGGCACATGAGGAGCCATCGAAAGCCATCGTCTTTGAATCTTGCGGGCACATGAGAGAAGCCATCGTCTTTGAATCTTTTGCCAATCTTTGAATCTTGCGGCACATGAGAGAAGCCATCGTCGTTGAATCTTGCGGACACATGAGAGAAGCCATCGTCTTTGAATCTTGAGGAGGCCATCGTCTTTGAATGCGGAGAAGCCATCGTCTTTGAATCTGAGAGAAGCCATCGTCTTTGAATCTTGCGGGCACATGAGAGAAGCCATCGTCTTTGAATCTTGCGGGCACATGAGAGAAGCCATCGTCTTTGAATCTTGCGGACACATGAGAGAAGCCATCGTCTTTGAATCTTGCGGACACCAGGGAAGCCATCGTCTTTGAATCTTGCGGACACATGAATCTTGCGGAGAAGCCATCGTCTTTTGAATCTTGCGGACACATGAGGAGAAGCCATCGTCTTTGAATCTTGCGGGCACATGAGATCTTGCGGGCCATGGGAAGCCATCGTTGAAGCCATCGTCTTTGAATCTTGCGGACACATGAGAGAAGCCATCGTCTTTGAATCTTGCGGACACATGGAGAAGCCATCGTCTTTGAATCTTGCGGACACATGAGGAGAAGCCATCGTCTTTGAATCTTGCGGGCACATGAGAGAAGCCATCGTCTTTGAATCTTGCGGGCACATGCGAGAGAAGCCATCGTCGTTGAATCTTGCGGGCACATCGTCTTTGAGAGAAGCCATCGTCTTTGAATCTTGCGGGACACATGAGAGAAGCCATCGTCTTTGAATCTTGCGGGCACATGAGAGAAGCCATCGTCTTTTGAATCTTGCGGGCACATGAGAGAAGCCATCGTCGTTGAATCTTGCGGGAGCCATCGTCTTTGAATCTTGCGGACACATGAGAGAAAGCCATCGTCGTCGATCTTGCGGAATCTGCGAAGCCATCCATCGTCTTTGAATCTTGCGGCCATGAGAAGCCATCGTCTTTGAATCTTGCGGGCACATGAGCCATCGTCGTTGAATCTTGCCAGCCATCGTCGTTGAATCTTGCGGGCAGCCATCGTCTTTGAATCTTGAGAGAAACCATCGTCTTTGAATCTTGCGGGCACATGAGGAGAAGCCATCGTCTTTGAATCTTGCGGGCACATGAGAGAAGCCATCGTCGTTGAATCTTGCGGCCACATGCGGGGAGAAGCCATCGTCTTTGAATCTTGCGGGCACATGATCATCATTGAAGCCATCGTCGTTGAATCTTGCGGACACATAAGGAGAAGCCATCGTCTTTGAATCTTCGTGAGAGAAGCCATCGTCTTTGAATCTTGCGGGACACATGAGAGAAGCCATCGTCTTTGAATCTTGCGGACACATGAGAGAAGCCATCGTCTTTGAATCTTGCGGGCACATGAGAGGCCATCGTCTTTGAATCTTGCGGGCACATGGAGAGAAGCCATCGTCTTTGAATCTTGCGGGCACATGAGAGAAGCCATCGTCGTTGAATCTTGCGGGACACATGAAGAGAAGCCATCGTCTTTGAATCTTGCGGGCACATGAGAAGCCATCGAATCTTGCGGGCACATGAGAGAAGCCATCGTCTTTGAATCTTGCGGGCACATGAGAGAAGCCATCGTCTTTGAATCTTGCGGACACATGAGGAGAAGCCATCGTCTTTGAATCTTGCGGGCACATGAGAGAAGCCATCGTCTTTGAATCTTGCGGGACACATGAGAGAAGCCATCGTCTTTGAATCTTGCGGGCACATGAGAGAAGCCATCGTCGTTGAATCTTGCGGACACATGAGAGAAGCCATCGTCTTTGAATCTTGCGGGCACATGAGGAGAAGCCATCGTCTTTGAATCTTGCGGGCACATGAATCTTGCGGGGAGAAGCCATCGTCTTTGAATCTTGCGGGCAGATGAGAGAAGCCATCGTCGTTGAATCTTGCGGACGTCATGAGAGAAGCCATCGTCTTTGAATCTTGCGGGCACATGAGAAGCCATCGTCTTTGAATCTTGCGGGCACATGAGAGAAGCCATCGTCGTTGAATCTTGCGGACACATGAGAGAAGCCATCGTCTTTGAATCTTGCGGGCACATGCGGGCCATCGTCGTTGAATGATGCGGGCGGGAGAAGCCATCGTCTTTGAATCTTGCGGGCACATGAGAGAAGCCATCGTCTTTGAATCTTGCGGGCACATGAGAGAAGCCATCGTCTTTGAATCTTGCGGGCACATGAGAGAAAGCCATCGTCTTTGAATCTTGCGGGCGGAACCATCGTCTTTGAAGAGAAGCCATCGTCGTTGAATCTTGCGGACACATGAGAGAAGCCAGAGATCTTGCGGGCACATAGGAGAAGCCATCGTCTTTGAATCTTGCGGACACATGAGAGAAGCCATCGTCGTTGAATCTTGCGGGACATGGGAATCCATCTTGCGGACACGGGAAGAAGCCATCGTCTTTGAATCTTGCGGACACATGAGAAGAATCCATCGTCTTTGAATCTTGCGGGCACATGAGAGAAGCCATCGTCTTTGAATCTTGCGGACACATGGAAGCCATCGTCTTTGATCTTGCGGGGCATGAAAGCCATCGTCGTTGAATCTTGCGGGCACATGAGGAGAAGCCATCGTCTTTGAATCTTGCGGCGGATGAAAGCCATCGTCGTTGAATCTTGCGGAAGGAAGCCATCGTCTTTGAATCTTGCGGGCACATGAGAGAAGCCATCGTCTTTGAATCTTGCGGGCACATGAGAGAAGCCATCGAAACCATCTTTGAATCTTGCGGGCACATGAGAGAAGCCATCGTCTTTGAATCTTGCGGGCACGCCATCGTCTTTGAATCTTGCGGGCACCATCGTCGTTGAGAGAAAGCCATCGTCTTTGAATCTTGCGGGCACATGCCAGAAAAATCTTGCGGGCACATGAGAGAAGCCATCGTCTTTGAATCTTGCGGGCACATGAGAGAAGCCATCGTCTTTAGATCTTGCGGGCACATAGGAGAAGCCATCGTCTTTGAATCTTGCGGGCACATGAGGAAGCCATCGTCTTTGAATCTTGCGGGCACATGAGAGAAGCCATCGTCTTTGAATCTTGCGGGCACATGAGAGAAGCCATCGTCTTTGAATCTTGCGGGCACATGAGGAGAAGCCATCGTCTTTGAATCTTGCGGGCACATGAGAGAAGCCATCGTCTTTGAATCTTGCGGGCACATGGGAAGCCAGGAGAAGCCATCGTCGAATCTTGCGGGCACATGAGAAGCCATCGTCTTTGAATCTTGCGGGCACATGAGAGAAGCCATCGTCTTTGAATCTTGCGGGCACATGAGAAGCCATCGTCTTTGAATCTTGCGGGCACATGAGGAGAAGCCATCGTCTTTGAATCTTGCGGGCACATGAGAGAAGCCATCGTCTTTGAATCTTGCGGGCACATGAGAAGCCATCGTCTTTGAATCTTGCGGACACATGAGAGAAGCCATCGTCTTTGAATCTTGCGGGCACATGAGAGAAGCCATCGTCTTTGAATCTTGAGGCACATAAGCCATCGTCGTTTTGAATCTTGCGGACACATGAGAGAAGCCATCGTCTTTGAATCTTGCGGGCACATGGAGAAGCCATCGTCTTTGAATCTTGCGGGCACAGAGAGAAGCCATCGTCTTTGAATTTGAGAAGCCATCGTCGTTGAATCTTGCGGACACATGGAGGCCATCGTCTTTGAATCTTGCGGACATGAGGAGAAGCCATCGTCTTTGAATCTTGCGGGCACATGAGAGAAGCCATCGTTTTGAATCTTGCGGGCACATGAGAGAAGCCATCGTCTTTGAATCTTGCGGGCACATGAGAGAAGCCATCGTCTTTGAATCTTGCGGACACATGAGAAGCCATCGTCGTTGAATCTTGCGGACACATGAGAGAAGCCATCGTCTTTGAATCTTGCGGGCACATGAGAGAAGCCATCGTCTTTGAATCTTGCGGGCACATGAGAGAAGCCATCGTCTTTGAATCTTGCGGGCACATGAGGAGAAGCCATCGTCTTTGAATCTTGCGGGCACATGAGAGAAGCCATCGTCTTTGAATCTTGCCGGCACATGAGAGAAGCCATCGTCGTTGAATCTTGCGGACACAGAGAGAAGCCATCGTCTTTTGAATCTTGCGGACACATGGGCACAGGAGAAGCCATCGTCTTTGAATCTTGCGGACACATGAGGAGAGCCATCGTCTTTGAATCTTGCGGGCACATGAGGGCACATGAAGAGAAGCCATCGTCGTTTTGAATCTTTGAATCTTGCGGGCACATGAGAGAAGCCATCGTCTTTGAATCTTGCGGGCACATGAGAGAAGCCATCGAATCTTTGAATCTTGCGGGCACATGAGAGAAGCCATCGTCTTTGAATCTTGCGGGCACATGAGAGAAGCCATCGTCGTTGAATCTTGCGGGCACATGAGAGAAGCCATCGTCTTTGAATCTTGCGGGCACATGAGAGAAGCCATCGTCTTTGAATCTTGCGGGCACATGAGAGAAGCCATCGTCGTTGAATCTTGCGGGCACATGAGAGAAGCCATCGTCTTTGAATCTTGCGGGCACATGAGAGAAGCCATCGTCGTTGAATCTTGCGGACACATGAGAGAAGCCATCGTCTTTGAATCTTGCGGGCACATGAGAGAAGCCATCGTCGTTGAATCTTGCGGACACATGAGAGAAGCCATCGTCGTTGAATCTTGCGGACACATGAGAGAAGCCATCGTCTTTGAATCTTGCGGACACATGAGAGAAGCCATCGTCTTTGAATCTTGCGGGCACATGAGAGAAGCCATCGTCTTTGAATCTTGCGGACACATGAGAGAAGCCATCGTCTTTGAATCTTGCGGGCACGTCTTTGAATCTTGCGGGCACACATGGAGAAGCCATCGTCTTTGAATCTTGCGGGCACATGAGAGAAGCCATCGTCTTTGAATCTTGCGGACACATGAGAGAAGCCATCGTCTTTGAATCTTGCGGGCACATGAGAGAAGCCATCGTCTTTGAATCTTGCGGGCACATGAGAGAAGCCATCGTCTTTGAATCTTGCGGGCACATGAGAGAAGCCATCGTCGTTGAATCTTGCGGACACATGAGAGAAGCCATCGTGAATTTGAATCTTGCGGACTTGCGGGCATGAGAGAAGCCATCGTCTTTGAATCTTGCGGACAGATGTCTTTGAATCTTGCGGAAGCCATCGTCTTTGAATCTTGCGGGCACATATGAGAGAAGCCATCGTCGTTGAATCTTGCGGACACATGAGAGAAGCCATCGTCTTTGAATCTTGCGGGCACATGAGGAGAAGCCATCGTCTTTGAATCTTGCGGGCACATGAGAGAAGCCATCGTCTTTGAATCTTGCGGGCACATGAGAGAAGCCATCGTCTTTGAATCTTGCGGACACATGGGAGAAGCCATCGTCGTTGAATCTTGCGGGCACATGAGAGAAGCCATCGTCTTTTGAATCTTGCGGACACATGAGAGAAGCCATCGTCGTTGAATCTTGCGGACACGGACAGCCATCGTCGTTGAATCTTGCGGAGAGAAGCCATCGTCTTTGAATCTTGCGGACACATGCTGAGAGAAGCCATCGTCGTTGAATCTTGCGGACACTAGGCACAGAGAAGCCATCGTCGTTGAATCTTTCGGGCACATGAGAGAAGCCATCGTCTTTGAATCTTGCGGGCACATGAGAGAAGCCATCGTCTTTGAATCTTGCGGGCACATGAGAGAAGCCATCGTCTTTGAATCTTGCGGACACATGAGAGAAGCCATCGTCTTTGAATCTTGCGGACACATGAGAGAAGCCATCGTCTTTGAATCTTGCGGACACATGAGTTTAGCCATCGTCTTTGAATCTTGCGGACACATGAGAGAAGCCATCGTCTTTGAATCTTGCGGACACATGAGAGAAGCCATCGTCTTTGAATCTTGCGGGCACATGAGAGAAGCCATCGTCTTTGAATCTTGCGGGCACATGAGAGGCCATCGTCTTTGAATCTTGCGGGCACATGATCTTGCAGGAGAAGCCATCGTCTTTGAATCTTGCGGGCACATAGAGAAGCCATCGTCTTTGAATCTTGCGGGCACATGAGAGAAGCCATCGTCTTTGAATCTTGCGGGCACATGAGAGAAGCCATCGTCTTTGAATCTTGCGGGCACATGAGAGAAGCCATCGTCTTTGAATCTTGCGGACACATGAGGAGAAGCCATCGTCTTTGAATCTTTGAATCGTCTTTGAATCTTGCGGGCATCGTCATAGGAGAAGCCATCGTCTTTGAATCTTGCGGACACATGAGAGAAGCCATCGTCTTTGAATCTTGCGGGCGGGAATGAGAGAAGCCATCGTCTTTCAGATCTGCGGGCACATAGGAAAGCCATCGTCTTTGAATCTTGCGGACACATGAGAGAAGCCATCGTCTTTGAATCTTGCGGGCACATA